CAAGGCAAAAAACCCCCTCCTACTGTACCGTCAACTGCACATCCGTCTTCATGGTGGCTATTGAGCCTGGTACCAACACAAGCTGTTTCAGTGATGCCTCTTTTAGTGCCTATGACCCCTCAGGCATATGAAGTGGTGAAGAACCATTTTGTCTGCCCGATTTGCCGTTGATGCAGGAGTCTGCAGGGCGGTTATTACCTTAGTCTCTTCCCAGGCCCTCAACCTTTTCAGCACCGGACACAGAATGTTGCTGGCATCTGGGCAAAGGAAACAATCGGAGACTGCCTCATCTGCATCTTCCAGCACCCAAGTGCACTCTCCATTGGTCCTCAGAGAGTCTTCAACATTGGCACCGGTGCTAGGGCCTTTGACAGCCTGCGTGTTGATGCCAGGCTATGCACTGCCTCCAACAGAACCTGCTTCTTGAGAAACATTCACCTTGCCAACTGCAGTACCACCACCAGTACCAGCCTTGTCTCTGCCCAGCTGGGAGTTGGACAGATTTAGTCATCAAGTAGCCCTGCCTGGTTGGATGCTTCTTATGCCGAATGATTATTCGGAGGGCCCCTCTCAGTCTGGGTCAGACTTGTCTAGCTCTTCTTAATCCCCTCCAAGCCACAGAAAGTCCAGTGAATCATCCAGGCCACTTTAAGACGGACAACCTTGGTACCAGGATTTGTACCAATCACACAGCAAGGAGAAGCCAGTGCAGCCTGAGACATTTTGGCCTCCAATGCTATACTGGCTGATGTGAAACCCTTAGGGGACTCTTTGATCCTCCAGATCTAGAGCTCCACCCTGTTCCAGAAGGTCCCCAGAACCATCCACATCAGAACCTCATGTAGTAGAAAAGCAACTAGAAGCTCTTCCTATTGTACAACCAGCCCAACAAGATGAGCTATTGGAGGAATGAGCTCTGTCTTAGAAGGCTACTTTGGTTCCAGTCAATTTATCCTTGCTCTCCCCAGAGGGCTCAGTAGTTCCAGGCTCATCCTCACAGTCCCAGAAGTTTATAAATCCTAATCAGAATTTGCTTTGAAGAATGGCCTCTGTGATCATTATACAAACCAAGTTTTTACAGAATACCCACAAGCTGTTGGACATTCTCCCAAGGTGCAGACTTGAGAAGGGTAGCATCCCAATTAATGAGGCACTTTCAGAGCCAGCAAAGGCCTTATGGAATAGACCTGTGTTGTTGGCTCCCACAGCCAAACACACTGACAAGCATTTCCCATGTGCCTGCCATGGGGTTTCAGTGGTTTTACGCTCATCTGACCCAAAATTCCTTCGTAGTCGTGCCTGCCAATGAGAGGTCAAGGCAAGGGAGGTTCAAGTCAGCCCCCAAAAAATGGATGCAACTAATCAGCAGGCACTGTTAGCTAAATTTGTTTTTTTGTTTGTTTGTTTGTTGGTTTTGTACAGAAATTCCCCATGGACTCCAGGGAACAATTCAAAGGCTTTTTGGCAGAGGGCAGTCCGGTTGTGAAGACATCTATTCCATCTGCCTTGAATATTATTGATGGTTCCTTTAGAATTTTGATCTCTGCAATTGTAATGAGGACAGTATCTTGGCTATATAATTCTGCTATAACCCCTGACATACAGCAAACTACAGAAGACCTTCCATTTGATGGGCGCTTCCTTTTTTTTTTTTTTTGGATAAAACTAAATCTCACAAAAGAATTGAGATATGAAAAGGTGCATTTCAGGGCTTGTTTTACTTTCCTCTCTGTGGTATAGGGACAGCATTTACTCCCCAGAAATCCCCTCAGTAGGAGTGAAGGCTTCCGGGTGTGCTCCAGAGAGACTGGAAGTGTCAGAGGAGGAGTTTATTTTTTTAAACACTTGTCACCAAAATGAATTCATAAAACCCCTTTTTAACACACAGTTTTAATTCTAAGCCACTTTTGGGCGAAGTGGCTACAAAAGGTCTGAGGGAGAAAATCAGAAATATTTAAGATGTGCTATTCTCCCCACCCTGAATAATGTTTCACATTTCTACACTATAAGGCCTGTCACACTAAATTTAACAACACTTGGCTTTCTCTAGCGGTGACTGCATTTCAGTGTTTCTGTAGAAACTAGCACACAGCCTTCTGCACAACAGTGAAGAGAAATTTGGCCAAGGATATATGCTAATACCTGCATTTACCTGGAGAGGCTAAGAAAGGTCTTGATATCCATACTAAACTAATTTTATTTCCTTTCTGAGGTGGACTCAATCTCTCTCATAAAGGACACAATAATTGTCCTGTTGAAACTTCCGCTGTACCTCAGGTTTCAGAGTAGCAGCCATGTTAGTCTGTATTCGCAAAAAGAAAAGGAGGACTTGTGGCACCTTAGAGACTAACACATTTATTTGAAGTGAGCTGTAGCTCACGAAAGCTTATGCTCAAATAAATTTGTTAGTCTCTAAGGTGCCACAAGTACTCCTTTGCTGTACCTCAGAGACACCCACTCTCTTCACCTACTATTCTGTATATTTATTCACCAATAGGGTCAGGTCAAACTGTACTTCCAGAAGCAGTTCTTTAAAAAAGTCTCATGCAGCCTTAATTGTTTCAGTTTCACTGTTCTCTTCAGCACTGCTAGTTACTGTTTAGGTTTCTGCTTTTGAAAGTGGGTTTCATTGTCTAATTTGAGATGGAAAGCAGCATTATCTTATTAAAACAAAGGTTTTTAACATTGTCTAGTTCTTAAAATCTCTCATGTAAATGATGTAACATTCCGCCTTTTTAAGCGGCCAGCACTCCAAATCCCTTCCAACTCTTAAATTTTGCATTTTCTCACCCTGGTTCAATGCTGTTGGGAATGTAGTAAGCATCCAGGATCCTCTTCCCCTGTACTCTTATTGCCCTTCCTGAATATCTTTGGCATGTAGTGTGAAGTTCCTACAAACGTCAGCAAGCTTCTCTTTTATACCTGCCTGCCTGAATAACAGATGTACACAGTAGAAGAGTCATTTTCAGTAAGATGGTTTCACCCATTTCTGAAGTTCCAAACACAAAGGATGGAGTGGAAGAAAATGCAGACAAGAGTTAAAAAAACATAGAAATGAGGCAATGAGAAGAGAGGCGTGGCAGAGCAAGGGAGTGAGCTATAGGCAGGGAAGGATAGCATAGGGCCTTGGTTTGGAAGGCAAGAGAAAGCTAGTGAAGGATTTCAAGAGTGCAGTGCAAGAAAGGTGATTTTGACAGCAGCATTTTGGAAACAGTGGAAGGAACTACACTCTTTCATGTGAAGCAGACATACCATAATTTACTTTATTACTGGCGCTGGAGTAACCGCTTTTCTTGCACCAACGCTAGCACCATACTTTTCTCCTTTTCTTTTTCTCAAGTGGTTCTTTATCTTCTGAGGTTGTGCAGTGTCTGTCCAGCCAAGAATAAGGTAGAGAGTCTAGTAATGGATACTGGAATATGAACTGAGGGGATAATTTGTAGTCTAAACAAAGCAAAATATTTACCCTCTGAATGAGGCACAAAATTAGGCAAACGTATTTAAATGAGCCCAGATTTTAAGGCTTATATGTGTGAAAGGTGTATACGTGCTGCATGTGTATGTATGAGAGAGAGGTGGTGTAGATTTAAAATGACCATTTGATCCAAAAAGAAAAATTCAGAACATCTGAGAGTGGCACTGCATATCAGCGTATGGGCAGCATGTAGATAGATGCACAATTGAGTAGTACAATTAAATGTTATGATGCTGAAACACCTTTATTGCCATATAACAGCTGGAAGTCACACAGATCTTTATCACAAAATTTAAAAAATCCTGCACTCAGATACAAGGATTCTGACTTTCACGCATCAGTGTTTATGTCAACATATTCCTTTATTTAAGGCTGATCTAGAATGCACTAATCTGAGACCACATGGTATACAGGGAATAGAAGAGAGCCACCTGCTTTTTATTGAGATAGTAGGTTGTGAGCCTATCCAAAAGCATAGTGCAGTTATAAAAGCCAGCCATTGCACAAGACCAGAGGAAGCCTGAGGCTTAGGATACAAACAGATATCAAATCACCACCATTTTCATTCAGTTGCCTTCTGACAAGACTGTGTGTGTGTGATCTCAGCAGATCTGACAAGAAGGGAAGTGAGTCAAATTCAATCAGGCAATGAGTGCTTGGAGAGTATTTTTGTGTATGAGGTAGCTCTGTGAAGTGCAGGAAGAAGTCAGCTCCTTTCCTTGGTAATGGAGATAGCCTAAAGATACCATCTACCAGACTTCTCATGCTTCGCATCCTAGAGCAAGTGGCAGATAATCATCATGGCTTGTTCAAAGGGTTATTTTATCAACGTGTCAACATTAGATTAGGTTGTCCCCAAAACTAGTCAACTTAAAAAAAAGAAGTATTTGCAATGAAACTGTCAGAAGTGGCTTGATGCTCAAGAGCAGCTGGGATCTATTCTCAGGGCTAAGTGCATTCTGCAGGTGATGCTATTGGATGCCTAAGGAAGGGGGCTAATATCTGCTCACTGTATGAGTGACTTTTGCTGGCAGATTCTTTGAACATCCCTGCAGTACAAGTGCCATGTACAGAGATGTCCAGAGAGGGAGCAAAATCAAGTACATGGGCTTGAATTCTCCTTTCGTTAGTACAACTCTCAGTGACTTAAATGGGGAGTTGCACTGGTGTAGCAGGAGAAGTTGACCCATGATGTTCCCCAGAAATGGTGGAGGAATAAGGAAGAACTGTTTTGATCACAGGCTAGTGCTTTGAGCGGGATCCATAACCACATGCATGAGCCCAGAACTCCTGTTTTGCTTCTAATCACATCCTCTCTTCTTAACCTTTTAAAATACTTAATGTGTTTTTTTAAACACAGTGGAGACCAATTTAATCAAAACATTTCAGGTACTTGAAGTCATGTATCATGCAATAACACTATTTGTTAAATGTTAAAGGTATATATTGTACAAATGAACTTTTAAACAAACTGGATTTGAATGTTTGAAATCAGCATCCTCTTTTTTTATTTTCATTCTTTCAGAGAAGTGGAAGGTGAACTTGAAATAGTTTGGGAATCTACCTCCAAAGAGAACAGGAAAATGAAAGAACTCTTGCATAAATCTCTGGAGAAGAATAACATGTGGAGCACTGTCAGAGTTTATGAATCATATTTAGATGAAATCTCTCAGAAGGACTTTATTTCTGGATATGGTTTTAGCTACTGTGATGTGAAACCATCATCACCCACAAAAAATCAAAGTAAACAGGAACCTCTGTGTTAAGGACAAAGGTGCCTCTACGTCTCACACAAGAAAAGATGATCCCAAAGAAACACAACAAGAGCTCTACGTCTGAATTAGACGCTCTTCAAGCACAAAATATGTTCTAACAAAAAAGCATTTATGCTCTTTGATACTGATATATACGTTAACTTGAATTGATAACAGCATATTCTCGCTCTGGTAGAGTTATATTTTTAGTATAGATTTTAATAATATTGTTGATGTCATTTGATAAAAGGCCATTGCTAATCTAGTAGAAATGTAGTATAGCACTAGTCACGACTCTGAAGCCGGCTGTACTTATCAAATTAAAGGGATAAATAATTGCAGCCCTTCACATTCTAATTGCTAGACTCACAGAGCACATAAATCCTCGGGTTACTGTTTCCTATTCACTTGTTTTATAGCAGAGACTCTCCTATATCATAAATAATGCTTATGTTTAAATATGGTTTAATTGAAATGCTAGCAGTTTCATCTATAAACAATCCTATACAGTTGTTTAAATATCCAAAATGTGGAGATTTAATCAAACCAAATACATAGAAAACATCTGCAATGTCTAATCTTTATTTCATTGTTTGTAAAGCACTTTAATATCCTGAGATGCAAAGTATTACTCTTAGGATCGATTGCCTACTACCTGGAGAAAGGGAGAGGAAGTGCCAACTGTGTAGGGGATTTGGGGACAAGGCAGGGGCAAATTAGTGGCACCACATCCCCTACTACCTCACAGATATCCAAGTGGGAGTTGGTGCTGCTGGAATCCATGGCTGCTTATAAACAGCTGTAGAGGGACCCAGCCAGCAGCAGCATGTTTCCTACTGGAGTTGTGCTGCCAAGGGGATGGAAAGTCAGAAGAGGCATGAGTCATCCCCAGGATCAGGAGGCTTTGCCCTCTGCAAATTCAACAGCATCTAAAACCACTTCCCCTTTAGGGGAAAATTTGCAGGGAACCCCTCAATTTTTTCTGCTCTAGGTAGACCCCTTCACAGAGTTCTTTGCAGCAGGGGGAAGTCTGTCCCATTAGTACGACATAGTATGACATTTATTGTCATATTTCACAGCAATTGCACATTGTAGTAACCAAAGCTCAAAGTTGATATAAAGTGAAGGATTTTATTTCACAATTTATACAAGTATGTTTGATCTTTCTGCAATTATTTTAGCTTGCTGCTTCATTTTATTACCCTAGCTAAAGAACTGACAACTGTTTGTGAACTGAAAACAAAGAGGTGAAAACAATACTTCTTAAATGTGTAAATCTACAACATATATAATCTATTATTGCTTGTTGACAGGAACTAAACAGCAAAAATAAAATCAGGGAAACAAAGGTCCCTTAAAAAGAACATGAAAAAGAAAACGGACTCCAACTGGTGTGGATCTGAGAGAGTTCACTTATGTCCCAGAGTGTTCTACTTCACATTAAGGGCCTCACTTAGGAAAACATTGGTATTCAGGAAGAAGGGCTTAAACAAGGGTTTAAAAAAAGAAAAGAAAAATGTACAAGCAGCAGAGTTTACATGCCAAAATAGAGATGAGCCATGGACTCCATGAAGTCCAATAGCAAAGTCTCTAGTGATTTTACATGGAAGGTGCTCAGATACTAGTGAGGGTGAACATATGGAACACTAACGGTATTGTCTTCACTGTCCAAAAAACCCTAGGCAGCATGTCTGAGGGCCTGAGTCAAGTGACTTGGGCTCATGCTATGGGTCTAAAAATAGCAGTGTAGACACTGCCACTTGGGCTGGAGTTCAGGCCTCTGAGACCCTCTCTGCTTTGCCAGGTTTTAAAGCCTGAGCAGGAATGTCTACACTGCTATTTTTAGTCCCAGAGTGTGGTAAGCCCCACTCAGTTGACCTGGCTCTTAAGACTTGCTGCTGCAGGGTTTTTGTTTTTTCGTGCAGTGTAAACATATCCTAAGATAGGATATGTGCTTTGAGTTCCATTAAGTCTGTGAGAATTAAACACACGCTCGAGTGCTTTCCTGAATTAGGGTCTAAAGCATGTGCAAAATCACTAAATTGCAGCTGACTTGTTACCAGCTCAAATAGTTTTATCTTTACTATCGCATTTTTGAGCTTTCAGTTACAAAGAACTCTCCCCCAGACACCTAACTACAAACAGGATAATTCTTTAAAATTCTTATGTTTTTGGGCTCAGTGGCTGTGACATAACAGTGAAGTAACAAAAGCCTAAACCTAATAAGATCAAGTAATACACGAGATGAGGATTGAGAGAATGAGCTAATAATATCTAATATTTTCATTTAGACTTTCACTAGATCTTGTAGCCCAACCACTCCTGTTTCTCTGAGGTCTTGGAGATGGCTATTTTAATTTGAGAGGCAATACCCACAGTATCAATTCAGCTGTTATACAAAGAACATTACAGACTATGTACATGCATAATTCTGCATCTAATACAAGCTTCCATCAGCATTCACAAATGGACAACTTAGACATGCACATATAGTAATTGTGCATACATATCAGACAGGCACTGTGCATCAGATTTTTTAAAATGGGCACCTGAATTTTCCATGCACAGCACGAGTACTCAGGCAAAAAACAGTAATTAGGTACCCAAAGTAGAGATTACACACTTTTCAGGTTTTAATTACCTGTTTGCACCTGGCTGGACATTTTAGGTTCCTTCTTTGGAAACCTTGCCCTTCTTGGCTTACATCTAACATCGCTGAGAACTACTCTAGTTATGACTGGTTGGAAACTAGGGGTGGGATTTTCAAAGTCACTCAGTGTTGGCCTAATTCTGTTGCCACTGAGGTCAAAGGTAAAAACTCCCTCTGAGCCCACCCTAGAGACACACTTCCATCTCCCTCCCTTTCCTTTTTTGCGGACTCCTTTCCTCTCTATAGCTCTCATTTTAGACCTTTAAATTTAAGCTTTATGTACCTTTATTTATCTTCACAAAGTAACTTTGTAGCTTACTGAACATATTCATAAATACTTGCACGACCAAAGGCTGCACTATACGTCAAACATTTCTAATATGTAAAATTTAATTTAAAAAATTATTTTTTGGAGGTTCTCATCCTGTGAAATTCTCTCGGAAATAAAATTTGCATTGTATTAAGGAAACTTAGAAAACATGATGGCATATTCCCATGTGGGCCCAATCCCGCATTCCGTGCATACCAAAAGCTCCCAAAGGCACATGGGAATTATGCATGTAAAGGATTGGGCCCCCCAATTGTTTTGATGGGTATGTTGAAAAATATGTAGTTGCTGATTAGTTGAAGAGTTTATCTGAGTTTTAAAATCAAACCAGAGATGTTGGAAACCCTTGAGATTAGAGAAATTTCATGATGAAGAATAAGTAACAACATCTTGTCTAGAGTGCACAATATCAAATGGAGTTAATACAAATAGAATTAATGGTTAAAGGGATATTTCTGCTGTGAAATCTATGAGTTATGAAAGAAGCAAGTAATTTGGTTCTATTTTTTGCACAGCTTAGAGTTGATTTCCCTCTAAATCTCTCACTAGTGAAAAACAAGTATTAGACTCAATTTGTTTAGCTTTCATTTCAGAGTACTTTATATTTAAAGCCTGTTTATAGGTACAAAAATAATATAGTTTATTGTGAACTGTTGGTCTTAGGACTAGACAAAGAGTGCATTTTGCAATCTTATGCAGAAAGCTATTAATTTGAAAGCATGTTATTTTAGTTCAAATCATTTTATTCTGAATATCGTTTACATTCAGATTGTATACTAAAATACAGTAAAAAAGACAAAATAAAAAATATCCAAGATCCTAATAAATAACAAAGGCTGTAACATACAGGTTAGAGTTGGCTATTAGGCAGTACAGTCTGTTAAAGTAAACAAATACAGCATCCAAAAGTCATAAATAATGTTGACTAAAACAAGTCTCTGACTGAATTAGCATGATAGTGGTTCACACCAGAATTAATGCTCAAGTCCCAGTCAAAAGCCTGAAGGCCTTTAAAGATTTCCTTAACCTCTACAGAAAGCAAATGAGCCACTGGAGACAAAAGCCTGGATTTTTAGCTGCTAGTGAGACCCCTCCAGCTCCAGAACACTAAACAGTCATGTAATTCCCAGTGAGTACAGTACGAGTATTTTATTGTATTGTATTTCTTATTTCAGAATGGCAGATTCCCATATAACCAAAGACAAGACAGAGAAAAAGATCAGCACCAGGAATTCATTAATATGTTTTGTCTACAAAGTTAAGGCTTCCAAAAAGCAGGGTGTATTTTTAACCCAGAAGAATAAAATATGTTTTTTGTTTCCAGTAGTGAATTTAAAAACAAGCAAACAATATACTATTTGAATCAATATTGGCTGTGTGTATGAAGGTGAAAGGTTACCTAGTGAAAGGATTGCTGGCACTGGAGGAGCAACCTCTTTCCAAATAGAATAGCAGAGAAAATAATACAAAGACATAGCAACTCACCATCGACTTAAATAATCCACCTCAGATTTCTGGCCAGAGCACCCTACGTGAGATCTGATGGCATCACTTGGGTAGTAGATGGTATCAGTGCACCAAGCCAGGCTTAGACCTATGATATGCATTCAGTCTTGGGACTTTGCAGATGGCCTGGCAGATGTGTTTGGTAATATTATTTAGATACCAATAAGGGGGCAACAGCTGGCCAGGGGAGACTGGGAGCATCCCCTTTCCTTTACTGCCACAACCCCCTGCAACTAAAGTAGCTGATCCAGAAACTGAATGATAAATACTTTATGGCATCAACCTAGTGGTTCAAACACTGAGACACGTTTGCATTGTGGCTCAATAATTTACTTGAACTTGTTTTAAAATATATTTTCAAATAATACCATAGAAAAGTGGTGTTTTAGCTACATAAAACTCGGCCACATAAAGAAAAGGAACAACAAGAGAGAACTAAAAACCCAGACAGCCATCTGTATCAGTTCGTGTTAAAATATATTTCTAAGATTTTCACTTCTGAAATCAGAGATCCATACCTTATAGCGATGAAAAAGTATGCTGTGCCATGTGGCATTACAGATGACATTAAATAGGTGATAATTCTTCAGGAAATAATCAGTATAAACCAGCTGGCCTTACTGCTTTACTAAGATACCTCCTAAAAGCACACGTCTGTTGAAACACTGCATAAAGCTTACAGGGTATTTGAACATTAGTATCCCATTTCTCCACCAGTTTTAATTCCCCATTGAAAGAGCTTTTTGTTTAATCCTATTTATTGTGAATTTATAGGTGGTAAAGATGATTAGTTTTCCCACAGCAATATGATATCAGGAGATTTATGTGGCTCTACTTACAGCTCAGACTTAATCTGATCCACTTTACAGTTTA